ACATTAATGAGTTTTTTTTATACTGAAAACAATATCTTGATAAAATTATCGAACGCATTTTTAAAAATGAGATTGAAAACGTTTTCATTTTCATTTTCATACAAAAAACAAAATAATTTTGAAACGAGTTCCAAACGCGTCCGATATTTTTTATCTGATCCAAGCTTCTTTTTATAAATGTAAATAAAAAATAAAAAATTGATTATTCATTCTCTAAATGGGCAATTCTATTTGAGTTTAGGGAGATTCTCTTGTACTCTTAATGTAGTAGTAGGTCAGGTTTTCCTAATCGTTGAATCTACGTACTTTAATTTCGTCTTTTACTTATTTTTATGCAGATTCAACAGTATGTTGGCATACAAGAGAAAGTCCCTTAAATTTAACTAAAGAAATTAGGTTGTATTTTTTATAGTTGATGAATTTCCATTAGTATTCCCGTGTGTAATTAAGGATATTTTTCATTCAATTTTATTTAATGCACTATTTAATGATTTAATGGATACGATATCTATGGGTCAACTAGATAAATAACAATCTCTCAATTATGAAGGGTTGAGATTTAACGCAATCAGAAAATTGATCCTCTCTTCACCTACAATACACAAATGGGATTCTATTGATATATACCTTAAACAGATGGTAAGGTATACTATTATGGTTTTTCCTCCGAGCCGTCCTGTAGTTTTCTGATTTCTTCAAGAATTTTCCCATGATCAAGGTATGTCTTCTCTACTTATGATATTGATAATCATATTGTTATATTTAATTTGTCTCTCCATATATGTATATCTGAAAGGTTATAGTCCCTCATATTCTATACTTAACCGTTTTAGGTGACGTTTGGTTCATGAATTCAAAATTATGGTTCATGATTTTGATATTTGAAATTCAAATTTTTTATAAGAGAAAAATATTGTAGCAGAACCAAGAACTATAAGTCTAAATCAAGCATAACTCTTAAAACAAACGTCACATTAATGAAATAAAAAGTTCATCACCATATCGTTAAATGTGCACAACCTTAATTTGTTTTATCATTTTTCTTGTCAACTATGATGTTGCCAATCAACTATATTACAACATGGCCAAACTCTTTTAAGTTTAGAAAAATAATGGTGGGTCTTACTTAAACACTTAACGAGACTAATTTTATATAATATAAGTAGCGGAAGGATGATAAGGGTGCTCTTAAGGGTCTGTTTAGTTAGAGGGATGAATAGTAAGAATGATAAAGAGAGTTAGATGGATATAAAGTTGAATGGATAGAGAATAAAAATGATAAAGATGATTATAGTAATTCTTCATGTTGTGGTATGATGGATATAGAGTTGAAAGGATGAATGAATGTTTGTTTAATTACTAAATTTTTCTTTTTATCAATTCTATAATAATTTTTTTTTAAAATAAAATGGTATTTTTAAATATTTAATGGGTAGATTGTATAGACTATAAATCCTTTCATAAGTGAAGAGATGCTCCCTCCACTTCTCCTCCCTTTCCCCCTCTCCTAAAATAAGAGATTATTACTTTCCCTTTTATCTCTCTCTCCTACCAAATATACTAAATTTAAAGTAATACTGTTAAGGCCTGTTTAGTTCGCTGATTCGAGTTTTTAATTCAAGTTGAGATGTGATTTTATGTAAGAACTTTTTACTGTAGTAAAAAAAGTTAAATATTACTGTTTTTAAGAGCTTTTTATTATAACAAAACTTCAATCGATAAAATAAATGAAACCTTAGATACTACTGATAGTCAATACCATCCGTTAATAAAAAAAACAAGGCCCACTGCTTAGAACCGGTGTGCCCCTAAACATTTTTCTCAAGTTTATGTTCTAAAAAATTAAATGTGACTGTTTTTAAAAAATAATTATTATAATAAAATTTCAATCGATAAAATAAACGGAGCCTTAGATACTACCAATAGTCAATACCATCCGTTAATAAAAAAGGAGCCCACTGCTTAGAACCGGTGTGCCCCTAAACATTTTTCTCAAGTTTATGTTTGGGCAATTGGTGAGATATACGGCTCTACGTTCAAGTTGTCGGCCTCTGACAAGCTTCTGACAAGAATAATTAATAAAGAGGAAAATGATAAGTGAAAAAATGGAACAACCCGGACCAGACATTTATTAGGTATAGGTCATTATTATTTGATCAGGCCAATCTTTTGTTCTCTGTAAACATGTCCAATGTCCATACAGAAAGTAATCTACACCAAAAGTACTACTACTATTGCGGTGCTGAAACTCAATAATAGAGAAACACAATAGTAAAACATTTCAGAGCTTTCCTCATCCACCTGATCAATAATGGAACCCAACAGTAACCAAATGTTCAGACTCTCAGGGCTATATATAGCTGAGCTGACCATGCATCCTCAACCATTCGAATATTCATCATAATGTTGATATTTCAATGTTTCTAAATTTTAGATATGATCAAATCATATCAATATATATATATATATATATATACAAAATCGACAGAAGTTATATATGGCAGAAAACTTTCATATAAAATTTATGTTATAAAAAGAAAAACACCGTGATTAGAACCCCCCTTTTTTTTTTTGGATATATATAGAACCGCCGTGAGAACTTTTGTCACACCAAAAAAGTCATCATGTACTGCAATACAATATATATCTGTGTACATATTATATTTTCTATTCAGTTTTAGTTTGATTACTGTGTGCGCATACAGCTATATATTATATTCATATACTAGTAGCCAATACTAGGGAGGATTGAGCACACTATACAAGTACTCTTTTTTTTTTTCTTCTTTTTAAAATGTCAAAATACATCAATTTTATTTTTCTTAAAATGTGTTCATTTGCACAATTCAAATCGTAACTTGAATTGTGTACGTAAAGAAAAAACATTATAACAAAAAAAATTATTTTTAAATTTATATGAAAAAAAATACTATAAGATATATATCTATACGTACGTGCGTATGTACGTGCTTTTTAGGGACTGAGAAAGCTACCATTGCTTATATATGCAGAATCTCAGTTATCAGCAGTACTACAACATCTATATTATTTATTTCGGCAAACGCTTTGTTTTGCTCGATATTTAATTAAGATGAAAAACTAAAGACTCGTTCACTTTACGAATTTAAATTTTTAATTTAAATTGAGATGTGACATTTTCTGAGAGATTTTCACTGTAACAGAAAAAGTTAGATGTGACATTTTTTGAGAATTTTTTACTGTAAAAACTTAAAATTAAAAATTTAAATCAGTAAAATGAACAAGTCTTAAATTATTTGTAGACATGATTAATTTGAAGCACTCACAGAAAAAGTGTACCATCTTACTTCATTAATTTGTTAAAAAAATGTGTTAAATATACGTGTGAAAAATAATATACATATGTATTTCATTTTCTATAATATGCATATATATGTATATGTATATATATATATATACGTTTTTAAACACATTTGCGTCACTTGATATGACATGGGTACAAAGTACTAGAGTGGTTGCGGCAAGTCTCCGGTTAATTAGCCAATGCAAGTTATTGAACAGTGTTTGACATTATTATAAAGGCAGTGTCATACTCATCAATTTTTTTCCTTGCAGCCCATAATTTATTACACACTTGTGGCGTGTCTTTTGCTTTCCATTCCCCCCTCTCATCACTGACGAAAAAAATGCTCTTTGCCTCTCCGCTTCTTTCTCCTATATCTCCCTTATAATTTTACCTTTTTGTCACAGTGTTTTCGGGGTCTTCTTTCCTTTTGCTGTGTTATTCAAACCTGAAAAAACTAGCTAGCTAGGGTTTTCTGGCCTCTTTCAATCACGTCTCTTGCATATTCCAACAGTAAAATCCAAGGAATCGTCTCTATCTTTTCATTGACTAAATCTCTCTCTCTCTCTCTCTTCTTTTTTTTCCTTGGGAAATTACAGATCTTGAAAGAGTTCAGACAAATTAAGGAAGAAAAAGGTAACTGTATTAATTTGCTCTATTTTTCGTCTGATTATATACACATATATTATTTCATCAAGCCAATCTAGGTGAAATTAAGGGAAAGTATATTAAGGGGTAACAATATTTTTCTCTTTGAGCACCAAAAACAATATTTCTGTCTTTAATATTATCAGTGCTTTTACTACCTTATTGTGTTTTTCTCTCGAAAGTTATATAAAACTGCTTCGTTTTAGGTTGTCGGGACGTTCCATATACAGGACACTGGCTGCTTCTGATTAACAGATGCGCTTTCAATTAAAGAAGTTTGTGTGTAAAAACACTGGCAAATAATCTGGTCTTGAGAGATATACAGGATTTGTTAAAGTATTATAATAAGCACTTTTATTATGTTAATTAACTGATCAAGATTAATCAAGAAGCCATTTTCAGGTGATCCCAATTTGGAGGAGGAAATATCTGGAGATCGAGAGTAGAGTTAAGGATTATTGATACCTTATCGGGGCTATCAAAGAATTAAATTGAAAGTTAAAATAATTATCCTATCTAATTAGCCAAATTCAAGAGAATTATTAGTATATGAATGCAGAGATAGAAAACTCGTGTATATACTGATCTTTAGTTAATAAGTACTGGGGAATACTATATATTATAACATGAAAAGAAATTGTTGTAGGGTTTTGGGAGAATTAATCCTTATATAAGTATGATATATAATATTCGTGTAAATGATCAGCAGTATTCAACTTCAAGAAAAACAGCTTTGTCAGGCCAAAAAAGTAAACGTATGTTGAAAATAAAGAAGCTAAGCGGTGACTTTGTTTGTTTTGTTTTTTTTTTCAGCACATGAAAGAAAGTAGTGGTTGGTATAAACCCTAGTTCTGTAGTTCTAAACAATCGTCTTAGTTTAAAATATTTATGGTGTCTGTATGTGTTTTTTCAAACTTGCTTGTTTTCTGTGATCAATATGGAAAGCACAAATATGAATTAAATAATACAATTTCCAATTATTATAAATAAAAAAGAATAATTAGTTGCTGTTTTCATGAGTACTAGTGATCAATTAGTACTCTCTTTTGGTTTAGCAGATCAATATCAGATATGGCTTCATCAAGTTACTCAAACTCTCCCTGCGCCGCCTGCAAGTTCTTGAGGAGAAAATGCATGCCGGATTGCATTTTCGCCCCGTATTTCCCGCCCGAGGAGCCGCAGAAATTCGCAAACGTTCACAAGATTTTCGGGGCGAGCAACGTCAGCAAACTCCTCAATGAGGTTCTTCCTCACCAAAGAGAGGACGCCGTGAACTCTCTAGCCTATGAGGCGGAGGCGCGGATGAAGGATCCGGTCTACGGCTGCGTCGGCGCCATCTCAGTCCTCCAAAGGCAGGTGATCCGCCTCCAAAAGGAACTGGACGCAACAAATGCTGATCTAATGCGTTATGCGTGCAATCATGAAATGCCGCCTTCTCAATCTGAGAGGAGGAACAATAATAATATGGGTGGCTCTTCTCACCATTTTGGTCAAAACTCTGGAGGCTTGTATTTTGCTTGTCCATGGAGTACTGACCATGATCCATGTGGAGACCAGAGAGGAGGTGGAGGTAATATGTAAGCTGGTTAGGGTTTCTCCTTGTATACGTACGTAGATTAGTATAAATATGGTATAATTGGATATATTCCTGTATTAAGGATAGGTCTTGGTCTACGTACTTGTAAAAAAACTATAACTTTCTTTGCTTCATATCATGTTATTGGTCGGTGCTGTTTTTCATGTATGATGATTTTGATTGAGAAGTCCTTGCTAGGTAGAATGTTAATTTTTTTTTTCTTCTTCTTGTGTACATATAGAGGATAATAAAGGAGCTTTGTACTTAGAAAGGGTCTATATGGTTATATATAAAAAAAATAAAATAAAAAGGTGGCAAGGGCTATTTGTTTCTGTTGATTATAATCTTTGTTTTTGTCGCGCCTTAGAGCATTTGTTATCAGTTAAATATATTTATCATGTTTAGACTAACGACTACATTTGTCAACTTTGTTAACTTTCTTGTCTGATTGGGATTTACAAAGGGTCGACAGGACATGAATTACTTTGTTTTTATGTGTCTGAATAGCTTAATTAATATTGTCTCTCTCTCTCTCTCACTCTCTCTCTCTCTCTCTATATATATATATAATATATATATAATGTTCAATCGTACATGATGAAATATATCATCAAAGCTAGATTAGCTCAATTGTCGTTGAATGATGAGATGTTCACACAAACTTTAATTTTTACCACCTACAATCTTGCATAATCTTTAGGCATTATGTAGTTATATATATTAGAAAGAGCTAGTTTACTAGCTACCACCACCACTAATTTGGTGAACCCCCAAAAGGGTTCTGTTATAGTTAGTACCACGCAACATTTTTTCCGTCTGACTGGTTGGTAAGTTGCAAAGTATGTTTCTGATTCCATATGTTTGCACTAAAAAGAAAAAGCGTTTTGTCCTGTTATGTTCATGAGAACTTGAAAGCAGAAGACATTGACGATCAATGTTCACCAAGATCCCATGCTTTAGATTTAGTTTTCACCAAGGTTAATGTAAAGGGCACATGTCCCAGGAAACATGCATAAATCTTATTCAACATTTGGGGTTCATCATTTGCGTTCGTGCATTGTATTAGGTCCAAAGTGTGAACCAAAAGAAAAGGTGATAATGGATGTGGGAATATTTTATTATTATTATTTTTGGTTCTTTCGCGGTAGAGCCTTCTATTAAATTGTGTGTGTTTTTTAACGGAAAATTCGATCAAAATCACGTTAAAATAAAATAAAAAATAATGGATGTGGGAATATTTTATTATTATTATTTTTGGTTCTTTCGCGGCGGTAGAGCCTTCTATTAAATTGTGTGTGTTTTTTAACGTAAAATTCAATCAAAATCACGTTAAAATAAAAAAAAATATATATAAAACAAGCCGTTTTTAATACATATCTAACCATTAAAAATAAAGACCTACAAATGATTCATTTTTCTAACCCTGCCATTCAATCTCCTTTTTTTAAAAGCTTTGTTCCCTAAGGCCAAGGCCAAGGCCACAACTTTTACACACATTAAAAAAGGACAATGTATAAAGGTGGCACTACTGTAAATATGTTGACTTCTCCAACTATGTGTAAATTTTTTTAACCATCTGTTTCTGTTGCTGGTGAATTTCATGTTCCTCTCCATCATAACATTGTCCTTGTCCAAAACAGTAACCTAGCAGATGCCTAATCTCTTAGACCCACAAAAGGGGTTGTTTACCCATGTGATTGGTACGTCCTCCTATACAAAGAAAATAATTTTGCATGACACGGATGGATTATGATATTTGGAATTTTCACCTTTTTGTCTTCTGACTATAAAACAAATATGTATATCAATTAACTTAAGCAGACGAAAAAGAACATTAACATATATGATAAAGACCAAATACAAGGCAATATTAATGGCATGTTCTTAGTGCTTTTTCCTTTTTCCTTTTTTTTTTTTTTAATTCTTCATTTATGACTACTTGTATTTTGTAGTATAAATGGATCACAAATCTATTTTATAACACGAGTCATACTAAACTATAATCACATCGTGATCTTAATTTCTTGATTATTGATCGGGATGAATTCCAAATTAAATATATATATATATATATATATATATATATATATATATATATATATACGCGCGTGCTTTTTTATGGTATATTCGAATGGACGACGCATCCAACCTAAATACGTAAAAGTGAGAAGTGCTACATGTACATGTCAATTAATGAATATGATATTGATGTTGAAGAGGTATAATATATTTTTTATTAGTCCAATAACATAAATGTTAAAATTATAACGTTAATGTTACGTTTTTTACCTCTATCTATAACATGAGTTGACTGTCCATCATGATGGATCGCAACAATAGGGTCCGTTTAGTTCGGTAATTTGAGTTTTTAATTCGAGTTAAGATGTGATTTTATGTGAGAGCCTTTTACTGTAGTAAAAAAGTTAGATGTAACTGTTTTTAAAATTTGTTTACTGTAGCAAAACTTGAATCGGTGAAATGAACATAACTCATATATCATATAATTGCATCCAGTTTCTTGTGATGGTCAAGTTAATCCCATGCAAAAACCTCGGTCTTCTCATATCCTTAGTAAAGAGAATTCAAAAGACAAATAATAATGTCACATGTCCATATTTCTCGACTTTATGCCTTGGAAGAATTTTCTAACAAAACGATCTATTAAGCCAAATATTATAATTGCAACAATAAGAATTAGCTAGCCACCTAAAGATGCATACCTTAACAAGGGTTAATTTGGAGGTTTTATAAAACAAACATAGTCCCACAGTACTAATAACAGAAAAACCTGGCGTAGTTAAAGCAGGATTGACAAGAAAAACCGAAAGTTCCAATAGGTATACATGAACGATAGGATTAGGATTAAGCTAGAACAATAAAAGTCGTAAGAGTGTGGGGTTGAATTGAAATGACAAGATCCCAGATGTCTCTCACTTGGAAAGGCATAACCGGAGCATGCGCAAAAATAATAATGAAACTATATATAACATCCGGATCAATGCGGTACATGTATTACTTTTTGTATTTTTGTGTAACATTGTTCTTTGTATGTGAAGCACTTAATACGCTTAATTATAATATTTTTATTAAAAAAATTGTACAACATATTAAAAACATTGAGTGTTAAACAAATTATTACGCGTTTATACATTTGTTCGACTAATTTGAGTGTCAAACTTGGCTTTTTTTGTTTCGTCAATTTGAGTTTTTAATTTTAGTTGGGAAGTGATTTTACGTGAGAATAAACACTGTGGCACAAAAAGTTAAATTTAAATTTTTATAAGAAAAATATTGGACGCGTTTGGAACTCGTTCTAAAATGATTTTGTTTTTTTTTTATGAAAATGAAAATGAAAACGTTTTCAGTCTCAAACAAAAATCATTTTTAAAAATACGTTTGGTAGTGTTATCAAGAGATTGTTTTCAGTGTAATAAAACCTATTAATGTCTCTCTTTCTCTCTCTCTCTCTCTCTCTGCTTGAGAGAGGAGAAATCGAAAATAAAAAAATGAAAAAAGTCATTTTTCATTTCTCTCTCATTTTACACTAAACTAAAAAATCGTTTTCATTTTCATTTTTTATCTTTATTGTGCCAAACACCATTTTAAAAACATTTTTATTTTTTCTTTCTTGAAAATGTGAAAAATAAAAACGAAATCAATTTTAAACGCGGTAATTGTAATAAAAACTTGGGTTGGGATTCATATCTCTAAAAACGAATTATACTCATAAATAAATATATATATATATATATTTTAAAAAAGGTCCCAATTGGGGCATCAGTCGCAGGTCATGTCCATCGATCGCTCTCCTAACCCCATGGGCCACCACAACCGCCCAAAAAGAGCAACTGACCCATGAGTTGATCAAGCCCAAGGATTTAAACATTATCTTTTCTCACGTTCTCTAGTAAAAGTTGCAATCTCTCATTGACTGATTGATTGGACGTGTCTGATGCCCCTAGGACCTCCCGATGTTGACTCACGTAATTTTAGTTTGTCCTAAATTTCAGTCCCTTGTTTAACTTACTAATTAGGCGATTCCTCTCATTTAAGGAGTTGTGTTGTGTCGCAATTATAATGATATACAGTAGCACCAAACAACAACCTTCAAGAGTCGCAAACGCGCAAATATACGTGTATATATATATATATATATATATATATATATATATATACGAGTTTTTAATAACCATTACTACACCACTGGTAGAAGCTTTAAGTATGCAATATACTGTTCTATTTTGCAATTTTTCATTGTCGATCACGTTCACACTTGTGTTGTCTCTCTCATGTGTTCTTTTCCTTTACTTTTCCTATTAGGTCCGTTATTCAAGTCGCTTTCACAACTAGAATCGTGCATTTTTTAACTGCTGCATAATAATCTCTTGACTCACGGCATCTCCGAAGATACCAATATAACTTTGTGAATTAAGCATCTTAGGGCCGTAACATTTCTACTTGACAATTTGTGTTTCACCATATGACCGAGTGAGGAAAGAGACATATTTATCTTTATCTTTTTTTTTTTTTTTTTTTTTTTTTTTTTTTTTTTAAATGT